CTACCTCCGCCTTTGTGCAAGGAGGGACAGGAGGAGCACTGCCAGAGCCCTGCAAAATGACCTCCAGCGAGCCACAAATGTGCATGTGGCTGCTCAAATGGTCAGAAACAGACTCCATGAGGGTGGTATGAGGGCCCAACGTCCACAGGTGGGGGTTGTGCTTACAGCCCAACACCGTGCAGGACGTTTGGCATTTGCCAGAGAACACCAAGATTGGCAAATTCACCACTGGCGCCCTGTGCTCTTCACAGATGAAAGCAGGTTCACACTGAGCACATTGTGACAGATGTGACAAGGTCTGGAGACACCGTGGAGAACGTTCTGCTGCCTGCAACATCCTCCAGCATGACTGGTTTGGCAGTGGGTCAGTAATGGTGTGGGGTGGCATTTCTTTAGGGGGCTGCACAACCCTCCATGTGCTCGCCAGAGGTAGCCTGAAAACCTGTATTCTCCAACCTTTCGTGGTCTTGTGTCCTGATTTGGAAACAGGATCTGCTGCAACAGTACCACACACTGTCCAGGAGTTGGGGGATGCTTTAGGTGTGGGAGGAGATCCCTCAGGAGACCATCTGCCACCTCATCAGGAGCATGCCCAGGTGTTGTAGGGAGGTCATACAGGCATGTGGAGGCCACACACACTACTGAGCCTCATTTTGACTTGTTTTAAGGATATTACATCAAAGTTGGGTCAGCCTGTAGTGTTTTTTTCCACTTTAATTTTGAGTGTAATTCCAAAAACACCTCCATGGGTTGCTAAATTTGATTTCCATTGATAATTTTTGTGTGATTTTGTTGTCAGCACATTCAACTATGTAATGAACAAAGTATTTCATAAGAATATTTCATTCATTCAGATCTAGGATGTCTTATTTTTGTGTTCCCTTTGTTTTTTTGAGCAGTGTATATTTAATGAAGCAATTTTTTGTAGCCATCTAGCTGACAGATAGTGACTCTGGGGAGCTGACAACAGTGGTGTCAAACTCGATTTCATTGAGGGCTGCATCAGGGGTGTGTTTGACCTTGGGGAGGGGTGGGTGGGTGTGGGCGTGGTCAGGGTAGGCGTGGCCAGCTCAATGTCACTAATGCACTGAAGATGGGGGTTGATTTCGTTGTATGAGGTGCAATGACAATAAACTAAATTAAACACCATACCCAGAATACTGTACAAAAGTTCAGGCTTCAAATCAAGGGTGGTAGAGAGAATAATTGAATATTCATGCCCTCCTTTTTAAAAAAAATATTTAAGAATCTCTTATAGAAATCCATCAGGTGCAAAGGGGACTTCCATCTGTGTTTAACTCTGTCAACATTGGGCAAAATCTTGCTTTTTCTGGCTCGGTCCGCCCAGATGCTGTAGAGCTACATCAGAATAGAATTGGAAGGGACCTTGGAGGTCTTCTAGTCCAGCCCCCTGCTGAAGCAGGAGACCCTATACCAGTGTTAGTGAACCTTCTCAACATCCAGTACCGAAATGGGAGGGTGTACATGCGCTGGGGGGAAGCACCAAAAACTGGAAGAGCAGCTTCCCGGCACACACCAGGAAGCTCAGACCCCCCCTGGTCTTCCAGTTTCTGGCACGCATGCGCACGCAAAGACCAGCTGGCCGGTGCACATGTGCATGCCAGAAACCAGAAGAACAACGGGTGACGGCCGGCGTGCCCAGAGAAATGGCTCTGCGTGCCACTTCTGGCATGCGTGCCATAGGTTCACCATCACGGCCCTGTACCACTTCAGACTGCTGGAATCCAATCTTTTCTTAAAAGCCTCCAGTGATGAAATACCTACAACTTCTGGAGGCAACTTCTGTTCCACTGGTTGATTGGAAATTCCTCCTTAATTCCAGGTTGCTTCTCTCCTTGATGAGTTTCCATCCAGTGCTTCTTCTCCTGCCCTCAGGGGCTTTGGCGGATAGGTTGACACCCCCTCCCTTCTCTGGGGCAGCCCCTCAGATATTGGAACAAAGCTGCCATCATGTCATCCCCAGTCCTTCATTTTTCTCTAGTCCGGCCATCCTATGCTTTACTCTGCAGGCCTCTAATCCTCTGCACTTCCTCCGAAGTCTCCACATCTGCTTTGCAATGCAGGGACCAAAACTGGATGCAGGATTCCAGGTGGGGCCTCAGTGATAAAGCGGCGCTAATCCTTCACGTGGTTTTGACTCAATGCCTCTGTTCATGCAACCGAGGATCTGGGGAGGTGGGGTTAAGCCTTTTTGGCTGCTGGCTCGTGCTTCCGTGACTGGGACTCCCTCCAGCAGGGTTGCTGCTTTTGAGCCAGGTGTCGCCCAACCTGCACCCCTTCTCCCCAGGGGCCGCCCGGGTCCCCTCGCTGCTGCTAGAGAGGATTCCTGCCACCCCCACAACCCGAGGCTCCCGCACAGGCGCAGCTCGCGGAGACTGACGCCCACCCTCCTCCTCCTCCTCCTCCTGGCAGCGGAAGGGGCGGGCGCAGGTGGCGCGCAGTCACGTCAGGCGGGTGGGCGGGCCTGTTGGCTGGCTGGCGCTCCAGGTGCCCGGGGGGGAGGGGGGAGGGAGAGGAGGAAGGGGCGGGGCGGAGTCGCTTCCGCGGAGAGGAGGAGAGGCGGCGGCCAGAGAGGCCGCATCGACGGCAGCGGCGGCTCCTTCCTTCCTGTCGGCGCCGACCCGGAGGGCGCGGCGGCGAGCGGTGCACCTGAGCGCCCGGGGGCTGCTGGGCCCGTGGCCGGTGCGCAGGGCCGAGCAAGGCGGGACCTCGGCCTGTCTGAAGTGGGCGTGGGGGTCGGCCAAGGTGAGGAGCGGAGAGGCGGCGGCGGCGGCTCCGGGGTGCCACCCCCGTCCCGTCCCGCGCCTGGACTGCGCCGCCCGAGCCTCCCCCCCCCCGCCCGAGCCCAACTGCCCTTTGGAGGCCTTGGCCTCCTTCCTTCGGGGCCGGGCTGAGGCGGCGGCGGGGGGCGGCGTCCGGGCAGGTGCAGAGCTGAGCGGATGGCGGCGGCGGCGGCGGCGGCTTCCTTCGCTCTGGGAATGAAGTCCTGGTTTGTTATTTTTAAGGTCAGATTTTGAAATGGAAAAGAAACCCACGCCTCAAAATGGTGGAGATGCAGATTTAATTCCACAATCCTTCGGGCCTCTTGGCCTGCAACCCCCATCCGTGAGGGACCACGAAACGATCCCCGCTCTTTCTTTTGCAGTCGAGGCAGCCTGCGGACGCGCAGAGCTGAGAGCGGGCTTACGGCGAATGGCGGTGGGAAACAAGGGCTTAGAAGCGCGTCGATCCTGGTTCAGTGGCCTGGCTGGTTCCGGGGTGGGGGTGGGGGGCGTCGCCCTGGTCCGTCCCTGGCCCTTCAGCCCTCCCGGTATCCGAGCATTCCTTGGATTCCTACCCGGAGGAGGGGACACAATTATTATCAGGAAAGGAAGGATGTCAAATGACCTAAAGCAGGGAAATAAAGACAACCTGGAAGGGGGGGGGGGGTCAGGAGAACGCCCCAAGGGCGAACCCTGGGCCCTCTGCTCTCCAAGGCTCAGGTTGTTAACGTAGCTGGCGAGTTAAAGGTTTATTATGCCTACCATACAGAATTGGGTGGCTTAGCTGGTCCTGTAAAACACAGAAGCCGGATTCAAAATGATCTTGATGGAGGAGACAAGTCAGCTGAAAGTAACAGTGACTTCTGTGTCCTTTGCATTTCCCTCCAGGTTTTGTCTACAAATTAAATGTGCGGTATAGAATGAGGTGTGCCTGCCTTGCTGACACCATGTGTGAAAAAGAATAGAAGCTGATTACAAACTGAATATGAACAAGCGCTTCAAAGATCAGGGTGGTTTGAGGCTGCCTGTCCTGGGGTTAAACTCAAGGGGTTAAAAGCAACTCCCAGGAGGGCCCTCAAAGGGACTAGAAGCCAAGACCGGAAATGGAAGGAATTGGAAACATAGCTTTGCACAGATTAGAGATGATAGCGCTGATTAGATCTCTGAATGAAGTTGTCACATTGAAGAAGGCTGAGATTTCCTTTTTTTATCGTTTCAGAATGCAGGACTTGGAATAATGGATTTAAGCTACAAGAAGGTGGATTCAGGTTGAATTTTAGGGGGAAAAAGAATCACTAATGGTAAGTGCAGTGCAGCCAATTAGGGAATTTGGTAGATTCTTTTCCTCTGTTTGTATACAATAAAAAACAATTTGTCAGGAATGCCTTAATTTGGATTCCCACACTGAGCATGACATTAGGCCAAATGGCCTCCTCCAACATGGTATAATTTGAAATGGCGATGTGGGACAAGAGGCTTTTGAAAATGCTTGAAAATATTCTAACAGATCTAACAGATAAATCAGAGTTGGAAGGCACCTTGTACGTCATCTAGTCCAACCCCCTGCCCAAGCGGGAGACCTTACACCATTTCTGACAAATGGCAGTCCAATCTCTTCTTGAAGGTCTCAAGTGATGACGCTCCCACAACTTCGGAGGGCAACTTCTGTTCCATTGGTTGATTGTTCTCACTGTCTGAAAGTTTCTCCTTATTTCCAGGTTAAATCTCTCCTTGTTCAGTTTCCATCCATTATTCCTTGTCTGGCCTACAGGCGCTTTAGAAAATAGATTGACCCCTTCCTCCCTGTGGCAGTCCCTCAAATATTGGGAGACTGCTCTCCTGTCTCCCCTGGTCCTTCTCTTTACTAGACTAGACATGATGCCCAGTTCCTGCAACCGTTCATCATGTTTTAGCCTCCAGTCCCCTAATCATCCTGGTTGCTCTTCTCTGTACTTTTTATAGAGTCTCAACATCTTTTTTATAATGTGTTGACCAAAACTGGATGCAGTACTCTAGGTGTGGCTTTATAGAGTGGTATTAGTACCTCCCTTGGTCTCGATTGTATCCCTCTGTTAATGCAACTTAGGATTGCATTGGCTTTTTTGGCTGCTGCTGCACACTGCTAGCTCATATTTAGCTGGTTGTCTACTAGGATTCCAAGATCCCTCTCACAGTTACTGCTATTGGGCCTGGTTTCACCCAGTCTATATGTGTACTTTTGGTTTTTCTTGCCTAAGTGGAGGATTTTACTTTTCTCTACATTGAATTTCATTTTGTTAGATATGGCCCAGTGTTCTAGTCTGTCAAGATCCATCTGGATCTTGAGCCTGTCTTCTTGGGTGTTAGCTATTCCTGCCAGCTTAGTATCATCTGCAAATTTGGTAAGTTCCCCTTCTATTCCCTCATCTAAGTCGTTAATGAAGATATTGAAGAGTACTGGGCCTAAGACAGAACCTTGTGGCACCCCACTGCTTGCTTCCTTCCTTCCATGTAGACTTAGACCCATTAAGGACTACTGGTTGAGTACGATTTGTTAGCCAGTTGCGAGTCCATCTAGTGGTGGTGCTATCTATTCCACTTTTTTCTAACTTACTAAGAAGTAGGTTGTGGTCAACTTTGTCAAATGCCTTGCTGAAATCTAAGTATATTATGTCCACAGTATTTTGCTAGTCACTATGTTGAAGAATGAAATAAGATTGGTTTGGCATGATCTGTTCTTAACAAACCCGTGCTGACTGCTAGTTGTTACTTTACTTGTTTCTAGATGTTGGCAGCTCTGTTTTTTTATTATCTTTTCCAGTATCTTTCCGGGTATTGATGTTAGCCTGATTGGTCTATAGTTTCCTGGGTCTGTTTTTTTCCTTTTTTGAAGATGGGAACCACATCAGCTCTTTTCCAGGCCTCTGGTAGTTCCCCGGTGCTCCAGGATTTTTGAAAGATATGGTGCAGTGGTTCTGAGATGATCTCTGCCAGCTCCTTTAAAACTCTGGGATGTCATCCATCGGCCCCCGGTGATTTGTGTTCAATATTCAGTAGGGTGTTTAGTTGCCCCTCTCCCCCCCTTTTTTTTTGCTAAGCAATTTGGGGTCAGCTGCCTCTGGAAAGGGTAGAACTGGGAGGTAGTCTTGTTTTTTCTGCATTGTTGCCTTGTGGGACTGTCACAGATGATTGGTTGCAAAATCAGGTTGCATGCTCCTAAATTCTTGACATGACACTATGGATGTAGGAATGAAAGGTTGAGATTGTAGAATCATTTATGTGAATGTGCAATTTAATTCAGATTGGCTTAGAAATGAAAGCCAAATTTTCTTAGAGTTGAACAGAAAATAATTCTGCTCATTACTTAACTAATGTAAACCATGAAGTATGTACCTGATGTTCCTACATGCAATTTAGCAGCATTCTCCATTTAATTATGTAGTGAAGAAAAGCATGATAGGATTATGTGCCATTTTGTGAGAGTCTGGAAAATGTTGATTTATGTGTTGCAGGTTGGTGTCCTTTAGCTTAAGCTCATCAGCTGGAGGCATCATGAGCAGAAGCAAGCGTGAAAGTAACTTCTACAGTGTTGAAATTGGAGATTCTACTTTCACCGTATTAAAGCGATACCAGAATCTGAAGCCGATTGGTTCAGGTGCACAGGGGATAGTATGGTAAGGCATTTTCCCCAGTGAAATAATCTCTTTTTATTGAAGAAGAGGAGACAATCAAAGATGGAGCAATGTTGATTTCCTTTCTCGGAAGAAGTAGTCTACATAGGATCAACTCTGCTTGCCGTAAAGGTGTCCCGCTTTTATTCTGGCTTTCAGTCCCTTTCATCCAACACCCTGCCATCATTTTGACCCTCATTTTGGACCGGACAGAGTGAAACAGTCTTTTCCCCAGCCAGCACCCTTCCCTGGAAGAGAGGCATTCCCTCCCCTCCCCTCACCCGCAATGTCTCCATAGAGACGAAGGAGCTTCTTCTTGAATAGAATCAGAGTTTCAGATGGGAAGCAATAAAGAAGAGGAAACTCCAATTTGTTCCCTCACAGATGGGATTCCTGTTCACTGGAGGTTGCTCATGGGCCTCTACGGACTCAGGAAAAGAGAGGAGGTTCTTTGTTATGTGGCCTTTCATTCCAAGGTTCTTTTTTTTTTCCACATGAAGTTGCTTTTAATTCCAGATGGTGCTTCAACAGGGTGGTACATTCTGTTAAATTCTTTAAGTGTTAACTTTTCGGTGGGGAAAAAGGTAAATGGCAGCAGCCATGTCTAATTGAAGCCCTTGAGCACTGAAGAAGAGACGGGCTCTATTGTCTGGAAAAAATCAGAATCATTTAGTCCCATAGACGATACCGTGTCCCTGTACTCATTCCTCTGGAGAAGAACAAAAATATTAATAGCTTATATTGCAGTAAGTGTAGAATTCACTCTGCCTGATCTGGCTCCAGATTTCCTCTTGGGTTCATACCTAAAATTCATGCTTCAGCTCTTGCGTATGCCCTTATTGAATTCTGTCATCTAAGCTGAAATTATGTACTGCTAATATAATTTTGATAAATACCTTTTGAATCCATTTCTGGCGGTGCTTGGTTGCATGCTTGTGAGTGATGGCAGTTTTCTTTTATTCACAGTGCAGCTTATGATGCTCTTCTTGAAAGAAATGTTGCAATCAAGAAACTCAGCCGACCGTTTCAAAATCAAACACATGCTAAAAGAGCCTATCGAGAATTGGTCCTCATGAAGTGTGTAAACCACAAAAATGTAAGTATATTTGTGCAGACTTAAAGATAATATCAAAGTTGTCCTTTAGGAAGTGATTCTTTTGCTGTCTTTACCATTCCAGGGGTAAAGATAAATTAAGAAGAGTTGAAGCACACACACACACACACACACACACACACACACACACACACACACAGATTGAGCTCAAGTCTCTGGGAAGGAGGGACATGAGCCTCTCCTCCCTGCTTCCTATCTAGCCCCAAAACTGCCATGGCTCATTATTCACTAGCTGAGAAAAGATGGGTGGTTATAAAAAGTTTCGTTTGGCTTCACATATGGCCGGGAGTGAATGATTTCTCAGCCCTGAATTTCCTGGTTTTCTAGAAAAACAAAAGAACTAGGATCCTGCAGTGGGCGGCCGTTTTATTTTGCATGGGGGAATCCCTGTAGACTACATAGGAATACTTTTCAAAGATCATGTCTCTTTTGTCTGAATTTTCTGGGAGGATATTATATAGCTATATACATTTATACCTGGCATTAAGTTAAATTGGGAGTCAGTTGAACAATTTTCTCTTAGCTTCTTTATGTTTTAGAAACCGTGCATAGTTAAGGAAGAGAGAGAGAGGCCTCATATCTGCCTGCATAACTCACTGGTTCCTTTTAGGTATTAACTTTCTCGTAGCCACACACCTGTCATTTTCTTGTTTTATGGTTTGTTTATTCAAGTTAATTTTGTACTAACTACTCGAGAAGGATTTTCTCTTTCCATTCTAGACCATCGAATTCTAAATCTGGGCATTTTTCAACAGTAAGGATAAAATTGATCAGTATTGTAAACTGGGTGTAAATTAGCGAACAATATAGAGATTTTAGTGCTTTAAGATTAAGTTGATCAGATTCTCCAGTTTTGCAGCTTATTTTTTACTTTTTATATAAATGATAATCAAAAATGGTATGCTTATTACGGTACCTTTTTTCTTTTTCATAGATAATTGGTCTGTTAAACGTGTTCACTCCACAGAAATCACTGGAAGAATTCCAAGATGTGTAAGTATAAATTTTGGGAAGCCTGTGTTAACTATAGTAATGCACAACTGACGATACGATGAGACTGCCATTCGGCCATTTCCCTTCACTGCCTGTTTCCCCTCCTTCCCAAGTTACATAGTGATGGAGCTCATGGATGCCAATCTCTGCCAAGTCATCCAGATGGAGCTTGACCACGAACGGATGTCCTACTTGCTGTATCAAATGTTGTGTGGCATCAAGCACCTCCACTCGGCTGGAATCATACATAGGGTTAGTGAGGTCATTTCTGTCGTTTTACGTGTCTCGTGATTTTCTTTTCTTTATTAAACTAAGCAGATTTTAATATACCTGAAAGAATATCTGGGCCAATTTTACAGGCTTCCTCTCAAATATAACACTTGACTAGTATTTGTGTCACTTGCTTTTAATTAACTGGATTTATTCTTAAATCATCTTCTCGGTACAACTGAAGTCTAGGCATGATAAATATGACTGCATTCTATTCTAAGAGGGATGCTATTTAATTGATCACTAAATATTCTGGATGTAATGGTGGATGTGAAAACACATTTCATCTGTCTTCTGTATTAAAAATGTCCAAGAATTCTACTGTTCGTGCAGTTCCCAGAAGGAGGTGGTGCATAGCCAACCAGAGGTGCTATTGGAAAAGCTAAGCAGGGTTGGATCCGATTAAGCATTTGGATGAGAGGATCAGGGAATATTAGGGCTTTGCCCTATAAAGAAACCTGACTGGAAATTCTGAAGAGGATCATGGAGGAAAGGAGTGGATGACCTTGGTGAAGAAGTCCGGAAGAGAGGCTACTTAGAAAGCAATCAGACAAGATTTGCAGGAGCCCCCAATGGGTTAACCATCAGAGAAAGGTCGTTGGGAGGGATCCATCCTGATGGATCAAGCCAACTGAAAGTGGTGGCAGAACTTTCAGGCTTGCAAGATTCTGCTAGGGTATCCTTAGAATAAACTAGATATCAGGTTTCCAAGGGATGAAATCCATTTTAAAAGAAAAATACAAAGTCCATCTTCAAAAAAGATTTCTTTTATTTAGAAAAGTATCAAATTGGCAAAGTCCATGGTAATTCCGGATCTGACACAACCCGGAATTACCCCACAATATTACAAGTTAGAAACAACCCCCCAAAGTCACATTCTCCAATAGAAATAATTCAATGATGCTTGATGTCATAAATCTCCACCTCCAGGGGCCCAAGCACGGACAGCTCGTTTCCCACGGGAAGGAAGATCACCTAGCCTAGACAACTCTATCTCCACTCCTCCCCCCTTAGGAATGTGGCGAGCCCGAAACCCTTCCCCCATGACTGCCACAGAGAAAGTAAGGAAAATAATATATATATTAAGCCTCACTAAAATGGCTACACATATGTCAATTTTGGGCTTGACAGTAGAATTAGCTCACCTCGTCCTGTTTTCTGTCTAGAGTTGAACTCCACTGAAGGAAGAATTTACTTTTTTACATAAGTTCTCTCAGTTAGCTCATGCCTTAACTTTATTAACTAGAGAGTAGGAAAGGACTACTGCATCAAGTCGCTTTGTAAGCGGCTCCATGACTAATCCCCTGTTCCTTATTAAATGAGAAATGCAAAGGGCATTACATCTCCTCCAGGAAGGGCCGATGCCAGCAACAGCCCTTCCTGTCAATTTCAGAGCTGTGTATTTTCCCTCCTCCTGAGAGCTGAAAGAAGAATGCATGTAATAACTTGCAGAAGTTATTAAAGAGGAGTACATTTTGTGCTATTTTCACAGAGATGCTGCCAAGCGTGGTCGTAGTTGTTGAGCTGATTTCTTTTTTGTATCCTGCTTTTGATATTCCTTGGATTTCACGTCTTTCTCTTCAAAGGATTTAAAACCTAGCAATATTGTGGTGAAAGCTGACTGCACACTGAAGATTCTAGATTTCGGGCTGGCCAGAACAGCCGGGACCAGCTTCATGATGACTCCTTACGTCGTGACGCGCTACTACCGAGCACCAGAAGTCATCCTTGGAATGGGATACAAAGAAAACGGTTAGGAGCCTCACGTTTCGATTGCTAGACAGCGTCTTTTTGTCATTCCATTCCTTGGGTTCCTCTCTCATCTTTTCATGTGCCTCATTTTATGCTTTATTTAGCTGTTAAAACCTAACGCATTCTCAGAATCTGCCGTGTGTTTAGTCTCAGTGTTTCGTGTTGGAAGCACCTTAATGTTGATGGTGTTGGGACAGTGCTTTTTTTTCTTAGTTTCTGTGTTCTTCAAATGTGAAAAATAACTTCTACTTCTATAAAGCGGCTAAAATTAAGCTTAACTACGCACAGGAAGCCGTTGCTTAATGACAGCACCTGGGCCCGCCATGTCTGGCTAAGGGACACGGTCACATGACATGGTCAGGCAGGTCCTCTGAGGCCATGGGGGGGGGGCTTCCCCTGGGGTTCCTGCAGGCGAGTGAGCAGCTGAGCTGCTGGTCCCACCTGCCGTCTTGGGCAGCTTAGGGTATGGTTAGCACCAGGAGTGGGGATTCAACCGGTGTTACTACCGGTTCGGTGACTATGTTTTGCATGTGCAGTTTGTGGACCAGATACGCACTATGCGCGCATGCTAAAAACCTTAAGCTGTGCCACCCGGACAACTGGAAAGCACTGCACGCGGGTGCGCAGCATTTGAAAAGCCACTTTTTTCCTGCTTTTTCAACCTCAGCTGTGCTGCGCAAAGCAGCTGAGGTTGAAAAAGCAGGAAATAAAGGTCAGGTAAGAGCCTGGGTGGGCGGGTGGGTGGGCCAAACAGCAGCAGACACAGAACTGGTTCTTCAGCGCTACCAGTTCTATAGAGGACAGAACCGGTAGCATCCCACCCCTGGTTAGCACTGTAGTTCATGCTGCCCATTTTGAAGCAAGGGTAGAAGAAGAAAATTGTATCAGCCCGTTACACGGGACAGACCTGCAGGATAAGGGAACTTTTTATTTCACGTGCCACCTTTGAGCTTTCCCTGCTTTCATAGCTGCAAAAGAATGACTTTTGACACAGTGCCATTGTTGTGGGTTGAAGGAATGAGGAGAAGATGCCTCTCTTTGTACTAGGGTTCATAAAAGGGAATATATATATATTTCCATATCTATCTATAATCTTTTCATAGATTTTCACGGGTACAGGTATGCAGGTCTTGGCGTGTTCGGGTCTTTTCCCGTGTCAGATTGAGAGTATCTTGGCGACGTTTCGACGAGGTCCCACTCGCCATCTTCAGGCTGGTACTTTCGGCTTCATGCTTGTGCGAGCAAAGCGTGATCGGAGCTGCTGTCTCTCTATAAATACTGGTGGGGAGGTTGGCTGTGTTGTCATTTCTTGATTGGTTGATGGAGTTGATGTTTTCAGATTGGCTGGCTTTTTCGTAAGAACATGTGTGGCTGAGGTATTGGCTGTGTGTCTATCAGCCTCCTGTGTTTTAACGACCCGGGTAATGGGCTGTGTAATGACCTTCTGAGTTCTATCGTTTTGACATCCTGGGTCTTGTGCTGTGATCTCCTGGGTTGTAATGACCTGGGTCATAGGCTGTGTGATGACCTTCTGAGTTCTATTGTTGTGACATCCTGTGTTGTTGGCTGTGTTGTAACATCCTGAGGTTTTGTGGTGTAACCTCCTGAGTTCCGCGATGTGATATCCTGAGCGGCACATCACAGCCACCCGCTCAGGATATCACATCACGGAAAAGCCAACCAATCTGCAAACACCAACTCCATCAACCAAGCAAGAAATAACAACACAGCCAACCTCCCCACCAGTATTTATAGAGAGACAGCAGCTCCAATCACGCTTTGCTCACACAAGCACGAAGCCGAAAGCACCAGCCTGAAGTGAATAATATTTTAATGCTCCATGTATCGCAATTGAGTTGATATTTATACATACATATGTTTTATATTTACTCATACAAATAGTATAAAAAAATAAGTATCAATTCTGGAAGAATAATTTTAAACAAACCTACCTCACTCTGAGGGGTCCTTGGTGCTCTCTGTGCTAGTGCTAGTCTCCAGCACTGATGATGATACCTAGTTAAGAGTAAGGAAACGTCTGCAAGAAAACAAGCAGGCTCAGAGAGCGCCAAGGACCCCCCCAGTTCAACCCAGAATATTCTCCTTTATTGCTACCTTACTCTTCAAAGCAAAACTTTGAAGATAGTTTCTAGAACAGATTTAAATGTACTACATATGCAGAGAGGGAAGAGGAAAAGAGAATGGCTGCGGTATCGGTGGCAGAAGACTCCTTACATAGTCGACCTGGCACACACACACACACACACCTGTTGGACCATGGAGTCTTGACTGTTACTTAACAATGAGAATAGTCAAGTAGGTTTACTCATTGTCACTCTAGGTATCCAGTGGAGCCCTTTTGATTACTTCCGAGGGTTAGTAGGGTGACTACTCTGCCAACCGTGCTTTTATAAACCATAGAGACGTGCAGTCATATACTTGCAAAATACTTCGAAGTCCAAGTTGGTCATTTTCTCCATGATTAAGTGCTACCATTTTTGATCTCTAAGCTGATTTTAATAACACACACACACACACACACACACACAAACACACACACACGGCAGTGTTCTCCTTGATGAGCTCCATGAGTTGAGGATTGGGGTCACCTTTGCATGACACAGATGACAAAATATAATATTGGAAAGTTTAGGGTCTCTCCGGCATTCTCTAATTGTTTGTTTTCATCTTGTTTGTCTGCAATTTTGTTCTTTTTACTTTACTGAAAGGATTTTTCTTTTGATGAAGTACAGTGTAGGAATACTTCTAATAGGTAAGTAAGTTATAAAATATTAGAACAATATATTAAAAGGGCTGGGAGAAGATAAACACTTTCCTGATCCCCAAAGGATTTCTGTCCAAGGAATTGTATCAATACCGAGAGGGATCTCGCTTGATTGCCTTGTCCATGCTCTGCCCTCCCTGCGGTCAGCTAGAAGGAAGTGAAGTTCCTTCGGCCTAAAGCTGAATAGTTTTCCTGTAGATGCCTCTGCATCTCCATGACTGATCCCCAAAAAGCTAAGCAGGGAGGGATCTGGTTAGTGCTTGAATGGGAAGTGCCAGGGATTCCCAGGGCTGGATTCTAAATTAGAAAGTTGAAGAAGGAATGGCAAACTACACTGCTCAAAAAAATAAAGGGAACACTTAAACAACACAATGTAACTCCAATCACATTTCTGTGAAATCAAACTGTCCACTTAGGTAGCAACACTGATTGACAATCAATTTCACATGCTGTTGTGCAAATGGAATAGACAGCAGGTGGAAAGCAGAGGCAGTTAGCAAGACATCCCCGATAAAGGAGTGGTTCTGCAGGTGGTGACCACAGACCACTTCTCAGTTCCTATGCTTTCTGGCTGATGGTTTGGTCACTTTTGAATGGTGGTGCTTTCACTCTAGTGGTAGCATGAGACGGAGTCTACAACCCACACAAGTGGCTCAGGTAGTGCAGCTCATCCAGGATGGCACATCAATGCGAGCTGTGGCAGGAAGGTTTGCTGTATCTGTCAGTGTAGTGTCCAGAGCATGGAGGCACTACCAGGAGACAGGCCAGTACATCAGGAGACATGGAGGAGGCCGTAGGAGGGCAACAACCCAGCACCAGGACCGCTACCTCCGCCTTTGTGCAAGGAGGGACAGGAGGAGCACTGCCA